AAGTGGAAATGATCTTTACGCATTTCACAAAAAGTGTTTGTCTTGTCATGATAATTTCGAACGTGTATTTTACAAAAAACCGTACCACTATACATGAAAATATGTCTTAGCTTGTATCTTACCTTCGATTTTGTACCGTGGCCTGGTGGTTAGGACGTTCGCGGATTCGAATCCCCGTCATAGAACATGCTCGCCCTTTCAGCCGTTAGGACGTTCTAATGTGATGGTCAATCCCATTATTCGTCGGTAAAAGAGTAGCCCAAGAGGTGGCGGTGGATGGTGTTGAATAGCTGCCTTCCATCTAGTTTATTACTGCTAAATTAGGGACGGTTAGCCCAGATAGCTCTCGAGTAGCTTTGCGAAAAATGCACACCAAACCAAACTTTCCGAAGCGTTGCAGGTGATTGCTTGTTTTGGACGGAATCAAACATTCACATATGTTGAAAAGTCATTAGACCTTCAGTGGCTCAGCGGGCAAGTTTGAAAGCTTACAACGCTAAAAACCCGGGGTGGACACAGCACACATAGCCCATTATGTAGCTTCGCGCTTAACAACAAACAAACGTAGCTTGGTGCTTAACAACAAACAAACGTAGCTTGGCGCTTAACAACAAACAAACGTAGCTTGGTGCTTAACAACAAACAAACGTAGCTTGGTGCTTAACAATAAACAAACGTAACTTGGCGCTTAACAAGAAACAAACGTAGCTTGGTGCTTAACAACAAACAAACGTAGCTTGGTGCTTAACAACAAACAAACGTAGCTTGGCGCTTAACAACAAACAAACGTAGCTTGGTGCTTAACAACAAATAAACGTAGCTCGGTGCTTAACAACAAACAAACTTAGCTTGGTGCTTAACAACCAACAAACGTAACTTGGTGCTTAACAACAAACAAACGTAGCTTGGTGCTTAACAACAAACAAACGTAGCTTGGTGCTTAACAACAAACAAACGTAGCTTGGCGCTTAACAACAAACAAACGTAGCTCGGTGCTTAACAACAAACAAACGTAGCTTGGTGCTTAAGAACAAACAAAGAAACAAACGTCATTGGTAGGAACGATTCTTTCTTTAAAAGTTTTTATAATGGAGATAGGAAAAAACAAATTAATTTTAACATTTGTTCCACGCTATAGTATTTTAATATCAATCAAGAGAAAATTTCGATTTAATTATAAAATAATTGATAAGCAAAACTTATTTTAATAAAGTTGTGATTTTTTTTTTTAAATACGACAGATTTGTTTGTTTGTTTGTAACTAAGCACAAAGCCGCTCAATGGGCTATCTGTGCTCTGCCCACCACGGGTATCGAAATCCGGTTTCTAGCGCAGACATGCTGCTGTGCCACTGAGAAAAAAAATCAACCAATAGGAAGAGAAGAAATGTTAAACACCAAATGTTTATCAAAGTCTAATCTAAACCATCACAGCTGTATTGTGAACTCTGCCTTACCAATAACGATGTAGTAAGACTGAATTGATTTGTTTGCAGCAACCAACGCATGCGCCAAAATCTTAAACTATCACATGTTTACTAGTAAATACACCTAACTCTAATTTTATCTCCCCTCCCTAAATAATTGTAAGTATTTTTATTCTGTCCAAACAATGCTTCATTTCGATAATACTTAAAATAAAAACTTAAAATATTTGCCTTTAACGTTCCGGTAAGTTCAGTACTTGACCACTGCCTTCCATGGAGCTATTGAAGCGGAGGAAGTTTATTTGTTTCGTCCAAGGCTACACAAGGGCTACCTGCACATAGACGCCCCTAATTTTAAAGAGATAGACCACCAGTTAGTGGAATATTTTTTTTCTGACCGAATAGTGGGATTTAACTGTCTCTCTTATGTACCTCGCCCACGACCTCAAAGTAAGGAACACGCGATTTTACGACAGTGGGATGCGAGTCATGAGCCCTCACGTCCATAGTTCAGCACGCTAACTACTAGGCCACGCCTTGTTTGCTTATATACTGCTCACTATACCGGTAAGGTATTGCATCATCTTATGTTCAAAGTTAACAAAGCACTGTACGATATGTATTTTCATTGCTTAATTTTGAGCTTCCAACAGTTTGTGGCAATACGATATCTATACACCATATATGCTGTTACTTTTACATCTTATAATTGTAAAGTAAAATACGGTTGTTAGCTACTAATAAACCCCGTAAAAAAAGGAAGCCCGATGGCTAATATTCCTCGCATTCCTGCTTTCTTTACAGCGCCATCTAAGTTAATTCTCATTAGCAATGCCGAAAGATAGGTATCATTTAAACGTGAAGAAGCTTGAATGATTTTGCCCAGGGAGCTTTCAGTGTGTTAATATTCCGAATTTAAACAAATCATTGACAGGAAAACCACATGATTATTAAACGGTTACCGAGATAAATCATTAGTATAAAAATCGTGAAACGTTTGCTTACATTCACTACAGCAATGAACGCGCTAATTAGTAGCAACTTCTGATCAAAGCAAGCTACTCATTAAGGCTTAACAACTCAGTTTCAATGATATCTTGACTAATACAAGTACGAGAAGAACTTAAGTAAAATATTCCATTTCTAGTTAAATGTAATGAAATCTGGTATTATACATTTTGGTTATGACTGGAAAATTTTGTAAAATGCGAAAAGTAAAGTACTAAATAACCACTCGGTAATTAAAATATACAAACGATTAACGTTTTCTAGTACAAAATTAAAAACCTTTATTCCAAAACCGATCAACTAACAACACACACACGTTTCGACGTATAATCACGTCATCTTCACGAACGATTAGACGTTCAAACATGTAGTGTTTTAATACCGTATTTACCGGTGTATAAGACGATCCCATGTATAAAACGATTGGATTTTTTTTTAGCAAATTATCTGTATTTCTTTGAGGTTCGTTGCATATGGCGACCTCTATTGTCAAGTAAGTCTATGATGTTATTTTTATAAAGAAAATTCTTAGAAGTTATTTTTAAACGGTGCTAATCTGCGCTCTGGGATAGTCAATACAACCACAAGTGTGTTTTTTTATGCTCTTCAAACGGTACAGACGGCTCAATGTGGCATAACTTAAGTCACAAGCATGTGCTAAACAACTTTACAAAGTTTTCATAACAGTTGAACTCCTTTTCTATAACCAAAAAACAAAAAAAAACAACTAAACCTTAAGATATAGTGATCTATATAAAAACATATTTACAAAATTAGTGTACGTTACAGAAACTAACTTTTTGATATAACATTAGCAATATTTTAGTATGACGAATGAAATAAATACATTTTAAATATTGATTGATTGTAACTAGCATGTAAGATAAATAACTTTACCTATGAAGAACCGAAACAAATGATACAATTACAAATATGTTATTGTACCCCAGTAGGTGGCGCGATGTCAACGTATTTACTTAAAAAAGCAAACAAAATTAACAGGAACAATATAATTTTGGTTAAACATGCTATTAACTGGATAGTTCTTACTGGTACTCTATATTTGAACCTGTGTATAAGACGAGGGTTAAAATCAGGCATCGTTTTACGAGTAAAAAGTATCGTCTTATATACCGACAAATACGATAATTGCAACAGGTGCAATCAACAAAGTGCCATCTAGCGTAAAAATGACAATTTCAAATTTGGCAAAATACAAAAGTGGTGTAAAATATGTGTTTTTATTGCTTTACTCTTAGCTTCCAAAACTTTCCGTTAGTTTGATGGGTAAATATGATTGTTTCATGGCATGAAGGAACGTTTGTTATTCAAGGTGTTTTGTTTCTTTTAAGACTAAAATAAGCTTAGCGAATTTCAAAATGTTGATGCTATATGTAGTAACGGTTCGAATCAGTGGAATCTGTATTATTTTGAACTATTTAGTATGACATTTGTCATTTATGTTTTATTTGTATTTTACTGATGTATTTATTGTTCGGTATGTTCTTCATTATTTTGGGTACTTCATTTTTGCTGATAAGCTGTTCCTGAAAAACAAAATTGACATTTTATAATTCCCGGTTCTATAAAATGAAAATACTGTGTCATCGTAAGTACAATTGAAACAATTATAGCAGCGTGATATCTATTTGTAGAGTTGATACCTTGGTATCCTGTATACACACACACACACGCACAAATGTTATCAGGACATATCAGTCACTTGAAAACCACTATTTTTTTAAAATAGAAGTCCACTAACTGGAAGTTGAGCGTATTTACAAGTATTTTCAGATCGTGTTAAGAAGTCACGTCACTAATTCTTACCTCAAAACCATCTGTACTGTTCATAATTAGCTCCCTAGCGGTTGCCTACAACCAGTCTGTGAAGAGAATGATAGAGGTCTATACGACAATACGGGCAACCTAGATTCTGAAGTTATGTCCCTACAGAGATGTCGATGTTGTTTTTAAATGTATCACAATAGAGCTTGTTGGTATAAAAATATTAAGGTTGTTTTTACATGTATAACAGTAGAGCCCGTTGCTATAGAAATATCAATGTTGTTTTTAAATGTATCATAACAGAGCCAGTTGCTATAGAAATATCAATGTTGTTTTTAAATGTATCATAACAGAGCCAGTTGCTATAGAAATGTCAATGTTGTTTTTAAATGTATCATAACAGAGCCCGTTGCTATAGAAATATCAGTGTTGTTTTTAAATGTATCATAACAGTGTCTGTTGCTATAGAAATATCAAGGTTGTTTTTACATGTATAACAGTAGAGCCCGTTGCTATAGAAATATCAAGGTTGTTTTTAAATGTATCATAACATAGCCTGTTGCCATAGAAATATCAAGGCTTATTTACAGGTATGATAACAGAACCTGTTGCCATGGAAATAACTAAGCTGTCTGTACATGTACTGTAACAGATCCTGTTGCTATAATATTATGTTTGCGTTACAGATACTGGAATATCAGTATATACCTCTTAATGTTTAATAAAGTTTCCTTTTATGTATCTTTTCTCTAGTAAAAGATTCAAACGAAACTATTCCTACCGGAAGTTCAAGTAATCGTGTTCCAGCAAGTAGAACAAGCAGTACCGGAAGTAGGGAGGAAAAGACAAGGAAGATCTCTGGAGTAGGTTTTATTACTTTTATCTTAAAATAGAATAAAAATATGACGCTAAATACTGTAACATTAGTGTTAACACTTCAAGAGGGTTCCACATGTTCATTACCGGTAACATCGGTGTTAACACTTCGATAGGGTTCCACGTGTTAAGTACCGTAATATCGGTGTTAACTCTTCAACATGGTTCCACATGTTAAGTGCCGTAACGTTGGTGTTAACACTTCAACAGGGTTCCATATGTTAAGTACCGTAACGTTGTTGTTAACACTTCAATAGGGTTCCATGTGTTTTTTGACAGTTGATTTGGCGGTTTTAATGCAACGCTCTTCTTACAAAATAATGTTTATTGAAGGTGATTATGAGAGAACCTAGTGTTTTTAATAGAGTTACCACTGCTAATTATAAAGGAACGCTGTTCAGGTTTAACAGAAGGTGGTTATAAGAGAAAATGGTGTTTTTAATGGAGCTACCACTGCTAATTATAAAGGAACGCTGTTCAGGTTTAACAGAAGGTGGTTATAAGAGAAAATGGTGTTTCTAAAAAAGTTACCATTGTTCTCATTTACTAGAAGGTGATTATAAGAAAACCCGATGTTTACAAAGAAGATACTACTGTTCAAAGTTAACATTAAGTGGTTATAAGAGAACCGGATATGTCTTAAGGAGCTACCACCGTTCACACTCAACAACGGGTGGTTATAAGAAAACCTGATGTTTACAAAGAAGATACTACTGTTCAAAGTTAACATTAAGTGGTTATAAGAGAAACAGATATGTCTTAAGGAGCTACCACCGTTCACACTCAACAACGGGTGGTTATAAGAAAACCTGATGTTTACAAAGAAGATACTACTGTTCAAAGTTAACATTAAGTGGTTATAAGAGAACCAGATAGGTCTTAAGGAGCTACCACCGTTCACACTCAACAACGGGTGGTTATAAGAAAACCTGATGTTTACAAAGAAGCTACTACTTAAAATATCACTGTTCAGGCTTAACAGAAGGTGGTTATAACAGAACCCGATGTTGTCTTTTGGGTCTAGTACTTTTCAGACTTAGTAGAAGGTGGTTATAACAGAACCCGATGTTGTCTTATGGGGCTACCACTGTTCAGGCTTAACAGAAGGTGGTTATAACAGAACCTGATGTTGTCTTTTGGGTCAAGTACTTTTCAGACTTAGTAGAAGGTGGTTATAACAGAACCCGATGTTTCTTAAGGGGCAACCACTGTTCAGACTTTGTAGAAGGTGGTTGTAAAACGAACTACAGATCATGACCATGTGGTTTGTATATCTAAAACAAGATTGTGGAAACAGGATTAGTCAACACAATGTTTTTAATGACTGGGTTTCAGTTTTTCCCCGAAAGGGGCACGAAGGCAACTTAGGGGGTCACCTGTTTTAACTACTCGCACCACTATAAAGTAGTGGATTGCCTGTCAGTCAGTCAGTAGACACTAACATGACGTCACATAAAGAAAGCTTAAAGTTGCAATTTAAATTGTTGTGACGTCAGTAAAACGTGCGCATGCCATGAATCACGAGAAGAATTATGCACTTTGTAGGTTACAACACAGCATGACATATGAACTTCAGTAAAATACGGTAGAGGAACTCAGGTTGACTTCACCCCCAGAGGATCGAGTTTAAGTTGATAGGCAGTAGGAAGAATGGTTCGGGTTTGGCAGCTATTTCAATGATCATTACGTGAAGCCGAAGCCAAATTAAAGTTATGTATAACGCTGCGCGTAACACGGGTACATTTGTTGATCATCCACATTTAACAGACCTGATACGCATGCACGTCGTACCGCCATCTCCCTGAAGTTAAGAAAACGAATGCTTGTTTCTATGGGTTACAGGTTTACTCCTTGCTAAGCAACGTAAGAAACCTAACGTTGTTCGAATATACGTAAACTTTCAAGTCAAACTCTCAAACTAGCCTCGACTTTCCACAAATCTTTGCTCTATGTACAATTTTGGTACTGAAATGAGGGTAATGGTACATTTACAGTAAAGTTTTCTTATGATAAAATATTGTCGAAACTCGGTACATTTGCAGTAAAGTTTTCTTATAATTATAATATTGTCGAAACTTGGTACATTTACAGTAAAGTTTTCTTATGATATAATATTGTTGAAACTTGGTACATTTGCAGTAAAGTTTTCTTATAATATTGTCGAAACTTGGTACATTTACAGTAAAGTTTTCTTATGATATAATATTGTCGAAACTTGGTACATTTACAGTAAAGTTTTCTTATGATATAATATTGTCGAAACTTGGTACATTTACAGTAAAGTTTTCTTATGATATAATATTGTCGAAACTTGGTACATTTACAGTAAAGTTTTCTTATGATATAATATTGTCGAAACTTGATACGTTTGCAATAAAGTTTTCTCAATGATATACTATTATCGAAACTTGGTACATTTACAGTAAAGTTTTCTTATAATATTGTCGAAACTTGATACATTTACAGTAAAGTTTTTTTTTTGATATAATATTGTCGAAACTTGATACGTTTGCAATAAAGTTTTCTTAATGATATACTATTATCGAAACTTGGTACATTAGCAATAAAGTTTTCTTCATTGCCTGGTCAAGCCGTCTCCAAACTTCTATTTCTAAAAAGTGGGTTCCTCGTCATCAAATTCAAATTCATTTACTATTAGTTAGTAAAACGTCGTCTAATCATGCAGGCCTCTGTGGCTGTTTATATATACATACGCAGTAATCTTAGCGTAACCTGACACTCTTTAATTAACGAGAATTTAAAGTAAGTACGAGTCATCACAGCATCAGAATTATGGCCAAAGTAAACACGTAGTTTACATGAATCTGACAAAAGTTAACGAGAGCAAGTGGAAAATTTTACTTTCCGAATTTTTCAGAAGTCTATGTTATGGTGAATATCAGGGTAATTAGGCTAAACCGTTAGATATTTCAAGTCTTTTACAAGCCATTAAAAAGTAAAAACGACTATATTTCGAAACCTAACTTACTGTTTTGAAAGTTAAAGGATTTTGGAAGAATGAAGTTGAAACTTTATTCTGTAAAATAACATATTTTCTGTATTCTCGAATTTGCAAAAACCTGCAACGTATATTTTTTTAGACAAAAATACGGACTTGAATAGAATGGAGATTGTTGTAAGTTTATATATAGGTGAACATTTTAGGTTTTGGAGATTGAAAAAACATCAAAATACGTCAAGTGAAAGAATCAGATCGTGCAAGGTCACACATGTAGCTCTCAGACTTGAGTATCTGAAGAGTAGACCAAAAAGCCATGCCAGTTTTTGGTTGTTTATTTGTCTGTTTTAGAATTTCCGCGCAAAGTTTTGAACTGATAGATTAGAGGGTCATTTCCCAGTATTCGGTCAAATAATTGGAGTGGGCGTTGTTGAATAGTTGCCTTTCTCTATGTTTAAAATTAGGGACTTTTATCCAGAGACGTATTATTCCTTAGATAAAAAAGTTCGGTTTGACTTTGAAGCCATAATCTTATTTCACGATTCACGACAGACTGGGGTCGGTCAACAAATTGGATTTGTCGTGAGTAAAATCATTGTTTGCCTTTTCTGGTGTAGCTCCTCCAGTATCCATCACCTAGAGTTGGCTGGCTCATTACTGTACTTTTTGGTATGGTAACTGGAAACTGTCCAACGGTGTACAGCGACTATCTTGTTTGAGGATTTTTGGTCCAAAAGAAGGGAGATAAAAAAGTCCATGAATCAGGACACATTTCCACTAATTTTTTATAGACTTTTGTCTTCCATCACTCAGAGTTTGCTGACTCGATTATCGTATTTTTTTTATAGTAACTGGAAACTGTCTAACGATTTACACAGGCTATTTTGTTTTAGGATTTTTGCCCAAGAAACAGGATAAAAAAAACAACCTGAAATAGATCACGTTTCCACTTCTTTATAGACTTTTGGCTTTGAATTTAAAAAAAAGGACTACTTAGTTTAATCAGTTAGATAAGTTAATTATCACCTTCCACAGAGCAAGGTATGTAATTAGCATCTAATGAGATCATTAGGAATTTAATAACAAAACAAAGAAGGAAGGGGAACATTATCTAACGTTATTCTTTATACAAACATTATCTAACGTTATTCTTTATATAAATATTATCTAACGTTATTCTTTATATAAATATTATCTAACGTTATTCTTTATACAAACATTATCTAACGTTATTCTTTATATAAATATTATCTAACGTTATTCTTTATATAAATATTATCTAACGTTATTCTTTATACAAACATTATCTAACGTTATTCTTTATATAAATATTATCTAACGTTATTCTTTATACAAACATTATCTAACGTTATTCTTTATATAAATATTATCTAACGTTATTCTTTATACAAACATTATCTAACGTTATTCTTTATACAAATATTATCTAACGTTATTCTTTATACAAACATTATCTAACGTTATTCTTTATATAAATATTACCTAACGTTATTCTTTATATAAATATTATCTAACGTTATTCTTTATATAAATATTATCTAACGTTATTCTTTATACAAATATTATCTATCGTTATTCTTTGTTGACATACATGATGAACAGGTTATGACTAAGTACTTCTCCTCGAGGGTCACCCGCTTCCGGAGTTTGATAAACAGGTTATGGCTAAGTACTTCTTCTCGAGGGTCACCCGCCTCCGGAGTTTGATAAACAGGTTATGGCTAAGTACTTCTTCTCGAGGGACACCGCCTCCGGAGTTTGATAAACTGGTTATGGCTAGGTACTTTTTCTCGAGGGACACCCGCCTCCGGAGTTTGATAAACTGGTTATGGCTAAGTACTTCTTCTCGAGGGACACTCGCCTCTGGAGTTTGATAAACTGGTTATGGCTAAGTACTTCTTCTCGAGGGACACCCGCCTCCAGATTTGAGCAGAAATATAAGTTTGGTTTGTTCTTGATTTCGCGCAAAGTTCGCCGTCTCTAATTTAGCAGTTATAGACTAGAGGGAAGACAGCTAGCTAGTCAACACCACCCATCGCCATCTTTTGAGCTACTCTTTTACCAACGACTAGTGGGATTGACCGTCACATAATATAACACCCCCACGGTCGAAATGGCGAGCATGTTCTGTGACGGGGACTCGAATACACGACCCGCAGATTGCGAGACAAGCGCCTTAACCGCCAGGGCCAGAAATATATGCAAATCTCTGTAAAGTAATGTACGTTTTTAGATATAGTTTCGGCCCGGCATGTCCATGTGGTTAGGGCGCTAGACTCACAATCTGCGGGTTCGAATCCCCGTCACACCAAACATGCCCGCCCTTTCAGCCGTGGGGGCGTTATAACGTTACGGTCAATCCCACTATTCGTTGGTAAAAGAGTAGCCCAAGAGTTTGCGGTGGGTGGTGATGACTAGCTGCCTTCCCTCTAGTCTTACACTGCTAAGGATAGGGACGGCTAGCGCAGATAGCCCTCGTGTAGCTTTGCGCGAAAATTAAAAAAACAAACAAACAAACTCTCTAATCCATAAACGCTCAGATATAACGGTAATAGAATACTGACTATATTTACTTGTCAGTTACGGATTATTGATATAATGACTTTTACATTTCATCCTTACCTTCCTGGAACTCTGAAAACTGTGAGTTTAGTTGTACGGCAGGGATATTTGAACGTAACCTTTTCTGAGAGTAGATAGTGAAACTCGAAAAGTGTTTCAATGAATTGAAAAAGTTTATCTGTTTGTTTATCTTCCTTAAAAATAGAAATATATATATATTATATATATATATATTATTAATAATGATAGAAATATATATATATATATATTATTAATAATGA